ATATTGAGCCTCTAGGGTTCTTGTATTCTCCTGCTAATAAGTTAATAGAACTTCCCTCTCGTTTATGGAGTAAGTAATTTGTCGAATCACATAAATGCTATGTGTTAACAATTTATTTAACTTTATCTTTTGATTATTGTCTATAATTACTTGTTTTGTTTCGTCGTTAGTCATCACAATAACTATTTCAACTCATTCCAAATCAATATAGAATCCCAATCAAAACTCAACACATACACTAATTTTGAGCCAAAATAACTAGTTGGTCAATTGAGTCAGCATAAAGCACTAATGGTGTGTATTATATTTTCTTACACCTGAAATAGAAAAGCTCATTGAGCTTGAAATTTGTATAAAGTAAAAGCGCTGTTGAAAGTTAATTTATTTTTTTAAAAAAAGAAGGATTTCAAGTTTGAAATTGTCGATTAATGAAAGAAGTTTCAACACAATATCAAAAATTCAATCCATCCAAAAAATTAAGGTGTTCGATGAATTTGAGGGATGATTTATTAGTATATATGCTTACAAAAGTTTGATTGAAACCACCTTCAATTGTGCATTTGGTTTGCAAGCAATGCTTATGTACGTAATTTCCAATAGAAAAAATCCTGAAACGACAAAATAATCATGTTGGATGCTTTATAGTTTCCTTGAACATCCAGCTATTTGCATTATAATCCGACTGAAATCGCTGCTAATGTAACAAAATAAGTAAATAATAATGCTGCAGAGTAAACGTGGTCCCTCAACAGAAATGGATAGGGCATAGATAATAGAGACTACAGAGACAGTTGTGGTAAATATCATTTCTTTGATCCAGGATAAGCGCTGCTTGATTTGAGAGGAACTGTCTGAGCTAAATCTATGGCGAATTCATAAAACGATCTATAGAATTTTTGGTTAAATTCAACTTAATCCTTAATCTTTTGATTTTCTGATTTTGATTCCCTAAGCTATCGGGTCAAAACAATCGACCGTTTCCATTAAGCTTCCGTCTATTTACTCTATTAAGGGACATGCGCCTATGTAAGTATATAACGATTTCCTTCTAATTCGTCCCCTCACAAAATAATAATAATATCAAAGATCGAAGCTTAACTTCACTTGGCAACGGTGGGAACATCATATGAGTAATAAGAACGAGTCGAGTAGCCATGTCAGTGTGTCAGATAAATGGATGATACAACAGAGACCCATCAACTTGGAGATACTTTACTAATTAAGCTACTGGGACATCAGATGGTCCTGCCCTTGTAACATACCTTTGCATGTCGCTCACGTGTGTGTGATCAATGCCAATTTTGGTACAAGCTTTTTTTTTTTTTTTCCCTTTAGAATTGATCATTTTCCTTAAAGTAACAATGAGTTAGACAAGTGATGATCGTTCATGACCAATTTCTCAACACAATATTGCAGGGAACATATTATTAGCAGAACCCCACAATTATTCTGGTCTCAGTTTCGCAGAAATTTCCTAATTCAAAAAGTAATCTTGCATCAGTTAGCAACTCTAATTTTTCCAAAAAAAAAAAAAAAATCAAGGGGTATCATTACCTTACCATAGATTTTTTGATTTTGTGTCATTTGAAGAGAAATTAAAGATTACGAAGCACTTTTTTTTTTTTTTGGGCAATGATGTAGCAAGGTATAATTAAGCCTTAGTACAATATATCAATAAATGTTACCTTCCGGAAAACAAACACAAATGTAGAAATACCTAAGGAAGTCATGGACTCCTTTATAGTCCATTCATAAATGGCACTTTCGCGAAAGATAAGACAAATAGAATGTCCTGCAACAGCACAATCAAGCATATAGGCCATTCCAAGAGAAACTTTCAAAAATTTTACAGCAGAATTCTTACATTTAGAAGATACAAATATTGTTTAACATTCTTTCCTTGTCCTGGCAGGAAGACAGCTTGGTTTTATTTCCTAGTGTTTAATGAGAGGCCCCATACATTCTGCACATACAGGCCACGCCTTCTGTTCTTTCTATATTTTCTTCATTTTATCATCCATGTAAAATAATTCCTTATCTAACATGCCCTAAACCCCATTGTATAATTATGTTTTTTCGTTAAAGATTCTATCTATTATTTTGAACTATTTGATTCAGACGGTGGCATTTGCAAACAAATTCTGTCATAGACTTGAGAGCTATATATACTTATCTACTAAATCACAGGGAAAATTAAGAGTGAGACTAATTAATACTCCTATTAATTAGAATTTCATAGCAATTTCCTCTGCTTTAATTCTTCATTAGATCTAGTCCATCTCATGGATGTATATACATAAGCCACAGTCCCTATCAATAGTGATAGGACATTGTCTGCGTAAATTAAGCATTTATTTTTCGACAGATCCAGTGAAGAAATTCAATGTGTGATAGATATGTTAACAACACTCGTGACATGCCTGATTGATTTGAAATGTATGAACCCTATAAATTTTACAAAACATCTACCACATCTATGTGATATAGTTCTTATCGGTTTCTAACTTTCATCTCTCCCTTAAACCATAAATTCCATGATCATTCCCTACACCTTTTGTAGTCCATAGAACAAGACATATTAATTCATCAATGTGCGCAGGCAAGACTAGACTGTATCATGTGTGCATGTCAGTGACAAAAAATATCATAAGCTAGCTCCAAATTTTTACCACTACATTGAAGTAGAATTGGGGTTCAGTTTTGTACAATTTCAATTCGATTTTCAGTTAATCAAACCATCAAGCACATAAACCAAACTTGCACCGAATTGGAATTCGGTTTTTCTAGTTAAAAAACTGAAATTTCGGTTTCAATTTTCAGTTTTGGATTTTTTTATTCTATTTCTTTTTTAGGTTGCGCATTGTATTATGGACTTGCATCGCTATAAATAAAGGGGTCTTGATTCTCAAAAGTTCAATTTTATTTCTAAACTCATTTCCTAAGAACTTGTTATCATTTTAGACTTTTTGGCATTCATAATAAAAATATAATCCATTTAGCATACATTATCAAAAATGCATCAAGCAATAAAATCTATCAAAATAACCATTAAATTCAAAGTCTTGGCATTCCTTACTAAAAAAAAAAAAGGCACACCCATCAAACCAAATAATCTATCAAAATATTCAAATTTGAAAAATTAATATATCAAGCAAAAACTACCAAAGAGCTTGTAGCTCAATGGTAGTGGTTTCTTACAACAAGAAGTCATCGGTTCAAATTCTAACAGACTAGTTTGGCTAGGAGCCTTAGGTGTGTGAGTTAATAAAAAAAAAAAAAAAAGCAAAAACTTACACATGTCATTCAAGAGGCCAAAACACCATCAATTCATCATATGTCTATCATAGTTGGTTCCAAAAAACTTTTTTTTTCTAAACGTAAAAAATATTAGATTAAAAAAAATTCAACACTTTATCATTATTATAGAGGAAAGAAATGACAAATGAAAATATAAAGTTACAAAAATTATCGATTTTAATTTTCTCAACATTTTGCAAATCTTCTTTAATAGTAAGTGGTATTGATGAATTTCTAAATCAATCTTAAGCATGTATAAAACATTGCATTGTGTTGAGATCTAAAGAAGTTCTTATCAAGAATTCTTTCTCTAGTGCTAAATGTTGATCCTGAATTAATGGTAGATATAAAAATTGCAATACAGCATGAGCTATTTATGAAAGGATAGAAAATCAAGAAGAATTGTACTTCCATCACTCTAAAATTTCAAATTCATCATCATCATTTTCGACATCTTCATTAAGAAATTTATCCAACTCCAATTTATTTCCTCCACCTCCACATTCACTTTTGAAATTTTTTTATAACATGACTTCCTTTTCAATTTCAAGCGTTTTGACTATTGCTCAACCGTTACTTTATTTACGAGTTGACACTTTCAATCTTTAACTACTTTGGCCACTTTGAGGTGTTAACAACTTGCAATATAAATCATAAATTACATATGTAGATTCCTTGATAAGATTTATTATCATTTCACCGTTCAATTTACCATATATGTCATTGAATGAAAGTGTAATATAGTCAAATTTATGCCGGTTATGATCAAGAAGCATCGCGATAGAAATCAACTTGTTCATTTTCTTAATATCCTCCAATACTTATCAAACTTTTCTCTCATTTGAATAGCCAACTAAAAGTTCTAAGTTGGTGCTTTCTTGCCATTTTTACAAAAGACAATCAACCGAACTAATCTCATTAAAGTAAGTATTTTAAATCACATATAAAAAATCTGAAACAAGCAAAGTAAGATCATAAAATTTTTTGACAATGTCACCATCAACAAGGACATAAAGAATCCTCAAATAATAAACATTAGGAGACCCATAGACTTCATCACCGTGATCTACATCAAGACTCTTATATAAAGGATCAATTTGCTCATATCTCTTAAAAGCTCGTCTTACACTTTTTAGTCGTATCTAATGTCAAGCATATTGAATTTCACCTATTTGCAACATCTAAATGTAACAAAATCTTATAGTCAATCTTTTCAATTTCAATGTATTTCTTAAATTTTTTTCAGCCTAGTCGAGAGATTGTTTCATATATCTTACAATCATTAGAATATGAAAAACCGAAGGATTGATATATTTTAAACCATTAACAATAACAAGATTCAAAATATATATTATAGACCTCATATGAAGGAATTTCTCATCTAAAATATTATGATCTCAATTCTTAATCACATCTATCATAACCCAAAATTTCCTCCATTTTTTATTTGTTTGTTATTTATCCTTAATTTATCTTATCTCATTTTATTTTATTTTGGAATTTACTATTAAAAAAATTAAAAAAAGAATAAAAAATACAAAACAATAATAATTGAGGAGATGACTCATCCCTCAGCCCTATAAATCCACTACACAAGTAACTCTTTTCCTTCTTTTTGAGGGGCCTCCATTACTTTCCCTATCCCACAAAAAAAACCTTAAAGATAGTCGACTAGCCACCATTGACATACCCCAACGAAAATCATGCAGCAAACACTCTTTACACCAAACCAGAATCAACCACCTGCAATAATCAAAAGCATCGAGTCCAATGGCACTTCATCCTTTACATCGGCATTAGTGGTGAGGCTTCTCAGCACCATATCCGACAGCCCAAATATTGGGCATAACCCGCAGCTACCCAAGCGAGAAGAGTATTGGGGTAGTATGATTTTGGCTTATCTCTTCTTTGTTTTTTTTTTATTGTTGTAGCATGTTGAAAATGGAACAGAAGGAGAGGAAGGATAAGAGGTTGCGCGATCTTGATGGGTTTTCGTAAGAAATGGAAGAAGCAGAGAAATGAGGAGAGGATGGAAGGTATAAGGTTTGATCTTTGTTAAATTGGAATTGGCTTAAGAAAAAAATGTTACATGGGTGAGGTTAGGTTTTTGTTAAAAGAAAAAAAATAGAAAAGGGTTAGGCCAAGCCCAGCCCAGCAGCCCTTCGGTCGTTGCCCAAAAAGAAAAAGGAGGACCCAATACCTTAATTTCAGTTTTTTCCTAGACAAATTGATTCTGAATATTTTTATTTATCTATTTATATTTCCTACTTAATTTAGATTTAATATTTCGGATTCTCTTGAATTTATTTAGTAAAATTTTTAATTTTAGATTTTACTTTAATAATTAGATTAGGCGGTTGATAGGTGGACGAATTGTCAAGTCTTCGAATTTTTTGGGATCGACAACAATTCCACATTGATAAATATATATATATAATAAATAATAAAAAAAGAGACAAAAAAATTTAAAAAATTCTCCTATCTAATAGGGATTGTTGTTAGCCAAAAATCATTTTAGTAATTAAGGCATTTTTCGATACATCTGGTTGTGTCGAGACTTAAAATGTATCCAATGTTTGAAGTGACGTGTCTCTCGATGAAGGGATCCAACGATTGGTTCATTATGATACCACAAATAAAAATAAAAATAAGAACTTAGTTTGACATAGAAAAAATTAAAAACTTAGAATTTTGACTAGGATTAATGTTGGAAAAATAGAACTACTTTTTCAAGAGATAAATTTTAGGACTAAGGTAGACGTAATACCTTTTTTAGGAAAGGACACTTTTTGGTGATTAATATTTTTCCAAAACCATAACCAACTCCTTACCCTAGGATTTCGAACCAATGCCTATTTTAGGTTTCTAGTTCCTTCAATAATAACTTAAGTCCCTATGAATAATTTTAAAAAAAAATAAGAAAAATAAAAATCTTAAATTTTCAAGAGTTTCGTTATATGTCGAGCAACAACAATGTCTTTTAAGTGTTTAATGGCACATCATTCAAACTTCTATTGTCAATTATAATACTAAAAACCTTTTTAATTTCCCATCAATTAATCATTTCTCAACGACATCGCCTAAATCTACACCTTATGACTATCAATGAGGAAAAAAAATCAATATCTTTTTATACAAATTCCAATCACTATCAATGAAATCGGTCATTAAACACATATAATTAATTTTTTGAATAGATGACCATGTGCTTATAGTGAGAAAAACTCTTTGAGAATTTTTTTTTCAAGAATCGCTTTAATTTCAATTTCGCATCTAAATAAATTTGATGGTAATATCTTAAAATCATAAAATGTGATGGAATTTTGAACCTATGTTGTGTAATAAATATAAACATTTTAAACCCCACACCCTCCACAAATTTAAATGGAAGCTGATCTACCATTATTATGTAAGCTAAAGTATTTCTAATATCATTTTGATCAAACTTCTATATGCAAGAGTGGTCTCTCCCTCTTAAACATTTGAATTTGATTTAAAGTTTAGTTTTGTTTGTTTAATGTCAATACTATAAGAGTGCTTTTTATATATAGTCAAATGAGCTTTAAGTGAGGTAATGCCATTTCTAATAGAATGAGTGACAAATACCTTATCACAACTATTATATTTGTCCTTTATGTCTTTATTTTCATCTTCAAATTTGGAGAAATGATTTCATACAACTGATCTTGACTTCATTTGTTTCCTTTTCATTCTCTTATCCTCTTATGTGTTTGATGGAGTTGCACTTGATTGTGCTAAATTGCTTGAACTAACAAGTTCAATAATAGTAACTTTGAGTAACGACATCTACATAAATAATTATATATTGATAAAAATAAAATGTGAAATCCCAAGGAAAAAAAAATAAGAATGCAATGTTAAATCTTAGTCATATAAATGACATTATTAAAACATAAACTAGAGAAAAAGTTTCATCAATTTTTTAGTTTAACTTTTAAAAATTTTCATTTATTGTTTATCAAGTAACAACTTTCTAAACTCTCTATTATTTAGCTTAGTTACTTGTAATGATTTTTATGAAGCTATAATAAGCTGCTATGTTGCTTATAGGTTACACATCATCCATTTCATTTCTCTATTTACTCCATTTGCAAGCCTCGTTCTACGACAAATCAAATTGATTCTATTCTTTGCTGCACCATTTTTAATGTTCTAGTGTTCTATGTACTATAGTTATACTTTGCTATTAATTTTCACTACTATATTGTTGTCCTTGCTAGTTTAGGCCTTTTCAAGTTTGTGGTTTAGTGACATTATTAACACTTTTACTTAGCCTAGATATAACAAACTGTAGCCATATTTTACAAAAGGCTAATTAATTCGATAGTATTTCGTATTATTGTTTAAACAAAGATTGGTACCCAAACTTTAATTTTTTCAATTCGAGTACCACAATTATTTTTTTATTTATAATTAAGTTATCAAATTCCATTGACCAACATCCGAGTGTATTGTTTGCACTTGATGGTGACATGGCCTAATGAATAAAAGACACATGAATCTTATGAATATTACCGATCAACTTGACAAAATAAAATTACAAATAAGCCCTACCTAAAAACAAATTACCTTCATCTTCTTAAACCCTCATGCCACATCCACCCTTATCCTCATAGCCACCATCTTCTCAAACCCTCTAGCCATAGCCATCTCTCTCCTTCGATCAAACCTAACACCAACTATAGATAATTAAATCGGTATAAGTTTCTTAATTATGTTGCATTCGCTTAAAGTTCTTAAAATGAGTGCAAGATTTGTTCATCCCAAAATATTTTGAAGCTCTCATTTACTTCATAGAGCTTGAATATGCATCATTTAGTTTTATAGATCAACATTATTGCACATGCTTTCTTTTTCGGATCACTATTTTAAAGTATGATCATTTAATATGAGTCATTTTGACTTTGAACCTATCAATAAGGAATTAGAGAATAAGATAGTTTAATTTTCCTTCTTTTTTTCGTTTACGGCAAGAGGAATAACACTTTACACCTTTAAAAGAGTTTTTTCTTCATCGCGGGTTTATCATCCTACTAATCAACGAGACATAGAGAGAAAGAGACTAATGAATTCTAGATCTTTATTGAGAGAGAAAAGAGTGCCTTCATCATCATCATCTTCTTCTTCTTTATCCAATCTTCTCTTACGATCAACACTACCCAACAACCCATAAAATACCCAAACCATTTCATCTTTTCTATGAAAAACCCATTTAAGCCAATATTTGTATCAACAAAAACAAACAATCACCTTTAATTTAAGATTTCAAGATCCCAAATTCTTTTACATTACTATCAATTCCATGATGGCAACAAAAAATAAAACTCAACAAATTGAATCAACATTAGTGAGAAAATAAGGAGAGCAAGAATCGAAGAAAAAGAGCTCTCCTCTGTTACCACTGCTTGCTCGAGAAGTCGTAGCCAAAAGATTGTTGAGGGAGCTGGTGTGTTAGATGTGTCCGGGATGTTTATTATGAGGAGTTTGAGGAATATGAAAAGCTTTATAAATCCGATTCTTCAAAATGCTAGCCCCTGTTGATATGATGAACTATTTTCTTTAAGATCTGTGTTTTCCTATTTTAGATTTAAAGTCATGGTTTTTTTTTTTTTTTTTGGTTATAAAAAATTAAGAATTTGGATTTTAATTTAAATTTGAGTTTTTTTGGTCATTTCACCATCATGTATCTATCATGTGTCTCCGGATATTGGTCAAAGAGATTGCTTGACTCTATTACAAATCAAAAAATAGTTTTAGTATTCAAATTTAAAAAATTTAAGTTTAGTTACTAGTCTCTGTTTGATAGATAGTTGAGGGTACTATCGAACCAATTAGTATTTACAAAATAAACTCAAAATGAGAGACAAAAGACATTAAAAATAAACATAGAGAAGCGGAGAAAACTTGCATGAAACCCTAAAAAAACCCTATTTTCTTGATCAAAGTTTTAACCTTTTAGCCTTTAAACGAGTGAAGATCTCTACTTTACATTACACCATGCCATTGTTATTATATTTTTTTAAAACCATAAATAAAGAAATAATGACAATCAAAATTAATAAAATTATTATCTATGAACATAAAAAAAAGAGTAAAAAAAATAACCGTGGAATGTGGTATTGAAAGCCAAGAAGATTGAGGAGTGTTATTGTTAGCAACACTACAATTGAAGGAAGAGTAATAGAAGGGGGTTGGGGAGCTAGGCGGTGAGGAGGAAAGTAGGAGGAAGAGTAGTAAAAGCCTAGAAGTAGGAGGATAAAGAGGTGGGTGGTGAGGAGGAAGGGACGAGGAAAAGAGAGTCTGGAGTTGAGGTTTGTGCTAAGGGTGAGGTGGGCTACGACAGCTACGAGGAAAATTAAAGAGATAATTAAGAGACCATTGTTGCTAGGATAAGTGTAGGTTTTTTTTTCTCAGTATATATAATTAAAAAATAGTTTTCAATTTAAACTGAACAAAAATTTTCAAAAACTAAATTTTGATATTTCATTTTTTTATAATATTTCGATTGTATTTAGTTTTTCAATTTAAACCGAATTATGCTCACCTTACATTAATTCAAGCCACTTTCAAGAGTACATATTTAGCTAGCTCTCTTCTGATCAACTAATTTGCATGTATGATCAGAGCAATTTATGAGTCTGGCAAGAATTTCCATTATTAATAACCAAGAATTAGCCATGTGGGACCTAAATCTCATTGCTAAAAGTATGCTTATTTGAACAATATGAGAACAATATTACATTAATTTGGCCATTCAAGTGATCTAATTTTTTTATCTTTATTTTTTATTTTATTTTATTTATTATTTATTTGTTTATTTTGATTAATACATGCAAAATGGGGACATATATGCACAGAAGAAATGATACCTAAAATGCCAAAACAATCCATTCGCTTCAAGAACAAAAGGGAACTGTTAGGGAGACACATTGCATCATTTCATAATAACTTGAATGCCCCAAATTTTACAATTGCTT